TCGTTTGTAAATATGATTGATTGTTTACATCTTCCCGAGGCAAGGGAGATAACTGACTGTAAAAATCCAGTTTTCACACTTCCCGAACTAGGCTCGAATTATGGAGTTCTAACGAGTCTATGCATGGTTCAATCAAAATAGCCTAACGAAATCGACATCCGGTTCATAAACTGGACTGCAGATTTTGGTCGATTGCAGGATTTGCAAAGCATGTGTACCACCAACACTGTGTCGGGAGACATTTTCGAAATCTTTTCACGTGTCTAATCAAGGTGCTCACGTAATCTGATGCACTTTGCGAAGTGAAACCCGTTTTATCACAATCCGGATGGTTATTATCGATCAGATCATCTTGACTGGGCGTCACCATTTTGATTTAAGCAAATGCAAGTGATATGAGAGATGGAATCTGATTGGTCAATGGGAGGGACATAGGATGGACACAACTCGTAATAGCCACTTGTAGCGCTACGATCGAGGCCGGAAATTCCAGCCTAGATCGGCAAGGATGGAAACTGGTATTTTACAGTTAGTTAACTCCCTTGCCCCGGGAAGATGGATCATCTATTGTTCAACACCACATTCTATTTCAGCTCCACGGCGGCCTGTAAATAATCGAGTCTTGACCAAACACGCAGTTTGGTACAAGTGATCATTACTTTGAATGAGTGAAATTATTTAACTACATGTTTCCTTGGATTTAGAATAAAACCCAAACATAAAAGATACGGGAAAATGACAGTTTAGAACAATGTTGATTTCAAGGAAGTTTCCATCTTTATATTGGCAGCTATTATTTAATGTTTTGTGTAATTACCGACTACGTGTGGAAATCAGAGCTACTATAACAGCAGCCCTCGAAATCAGAAGTGGCCACATGGTCCAATATTTAGGTCTGAACCGACTTCTAGGTCAGAAATCCGCTAAGCTTTGATGGTTTTGTACCCTAAGGTTTTCTATTAATGTATAGGCCAGACCAAACAAGCTAATGTTGGAATGGGTTTGTAAGAGTAGAAACAACTTTACTCCTAAATTTTAGAAATGACAAAAAAACCAGATTATTTGTGAAATCTTATACTACATCAACATTTATAGCAAATGTTCTTTGTATTACCGAGTTTCTCACGTACCTTTTCCTACAAATAGCGCTTGGCTGTGTGGGATAAAGAGACATGATAGAATATCTTCAGAGACTCGTGGATCAGAAAGACAGCACTGGGGAGGGGGGGGGGGGATACGTTACCTGGGTTGATTACGGAGCTATCCTTGGGATTTTACGTGCGCTTCAAGCAGTGCTGGAGTTGCTCCGGAGTAAATATTTAGTACCCGCCGTTAAAACAAAATAGACTGCCAATACAAAGTCCCAGCAAGATGAAACAGGACATTATTTAAGAAACAATTATTTTTTTCTGCTACTGGTCTTTATAATAGCTTTATGATCTAGTTTCTTCAAAAGGGTCGTGTGTCTACTACTCTTATCATTAGAGACTGTGTCTCACGAAGGGACCAATTACAGTGTCTGGACCAACACCAGAACTAGATACCAGACCGTTGAGTCGATGGAATTCTCACATTTCGTAACTATATGTTTTAATGTACGTACAGTCAGGCTATGTTCGACGAACTGGGTTATCAGCTGGCAAGCATGATAAATAACCAGGATGCACAAAACATATACTGTTCATCAAAAGTTAAGGCCAAAGTACTTAAGGCCCATTTTACGTTTAAGGATAGTAATTACAGGCATTTCAAGAAATTGGTCCAACTCGAATATGAATACGGTTGTTTGTAATCAACTTTTTATGAGAAAGATAAAAGATGCTTCGCAGATCGTTCACGTCTGAATCTACCATTTAACAGGAAGAACACTGGTACCATTGATCTCACAAACTGATACGATGGAGTAGATGAATATTCTTTTCTTGGTATATTTGTTTTAAAAAAAAAATAAATAAATTTGATTGAAGGTTACGATTCAACCAAACAATTTTTAACTGAAAACCACTTAGGAAAAACACCCATGTAAATTTATATACAATGGCAAATCATAGCTGAATTCAACTGCAATAAATAGCGATTTTTGTAAAGACACTTACACATTGTAGACAGAACTACACATTATGAGGAAACGTTTCCTAGAAATAAATTGAATTTATTTTAAGTAGGAAATGATTTTTTGTTATTTATAATGGGACATATCGGTATTTCACATCGGATAGAAAGGAATTTAGCATGGGATATACATGTAATTAGTATGGTACAAGTATATATTGGTACTTAGCATGGTGAATATATGTACTTGGCATTCTCGGTAAGGGCGATGCTTCACACCGGAAGGCCAAAGACGTCTGCAGGGCGATCTTTCAGACCAAAGACCTTCACAGAAAGCTCAACAAGACCAATGATGTCACCAGGGCCATCCTTCGGACCAAAGAACCTCTGTGGATGCTCCTCAAGAGCAGTGATGTCGCCAGGGCGATCTTTCAGACCAAAGACCTTCACAGAAAGCTCAACAAGACCAATGATGTCACCAGGGCCATCCTTCGGGCCAGATGCCTTCCATGGACACTCCTGAAGAGTATTGATGCAACCAGGGCGATCCTTCGTACTAAAGACCTTCCGCGGATGCTCCTCAAGATCAATGATTTCGCCAAGGAAAGCTCTTCAAGAGTAGTGATGTCGCCAGGGCGATCCTTCGGATCAAAGAACCTCTGTGGATGCTCCTCAAGAGCAGTGATGTCGCCAGGGCGTTCTTTCGGACCAAAGAACCTCTGTGGATGCTCCTAAAGAGCAGTGATGTCGCCAAGGTGATCCTCCTGATCCAGAAGACCTTCCCAGAGAGTCCACCAAGGGCGCACTCGTCTACGGCCTTTAAATTTTCACTCTGAGAATTTGGAAAACTTATCCAAACCTATGTGTTGTGATATAAGTAACCATCGAGCGGCTATTTCACAAACGGCTTCATGTTATATTTTGTGCAACAAAAAACAGGCACTTTTCATTATTTACTCCAAGAAGTGTTTGTTTTGCGAGATACGTGTAATCAACATATTGCGCTACTGGAGTATGCTGGAAGAGGATTCTGTTGTGACGCAGAGCTGTGGGGTAGCCGAGTGGTTAAAGTGTTCGCTCGTCACGGTGAAGACCTGGGTTCGATTCCCCACATAGGTATCATGTGTAATCCCATTTCCGGTGTCACCTCACTCACTGTTGTATGACATGTAGGCCACAAGCTAAGAGACGTGGGAAGCCGAGATAATGTGTGCTCTTTTATCAGAGCAAAGCACCAGTGCACAGATCAGTTGTGTCCACTCTATAATCCACGAGTGTGGCTTTTAACTCCTTCAGCATTCACCTTATTCTCCTGATTTGGCTCTGTAAAACTTTCATCTGTTCTCAAAAATGAGTGAGTGAGTGAGTGAGTGAGTGAGTGAGTGAGTATGGTTTTACGCCGCTTTTAGCAATATTCCAGCAATATCACGGTGGGGGACACCAGAAATGGGCTTCACACATTGTACCCATCGAACCCATCGAACTCGGGTCTTCGGCGTGACGAGCGAATGCTTAACCACTAGGCTACCCGACCGCCCCTCTAAAAAATGAAGAAAGCTTTAGCTGGAACCCATTGTCATGGCAATTGTAGATAAGTTTTTGGACATTCAGGAGGACTTCTACGAAACTGGGACAAAAATCACTCCAACAATCGTTGGCAGACGTGTATCAATGTGGAAGGCGGTAATGTCTTTAGCACAAGTCTTTCTACGCGAGGTTCAGAACATATCAATCAGTCCTTGTATGACACTATTTTGATGACCTATGTTGCCTTAGAATATCTATCAGTGGGTACTGGGGTTCCTTCTGTTTCGGAATGCCAGTAGGTACTATTTTTTAACCAGGGATATATTTGCCCTGAAATACTCATGGGTATGACAATGTTGCATTTGCCCGGAAGTACCCAATGGCATATATGATCGCCCCCATGGTGTAGTGAATAGAGCGTCTGCCTGGAGGTAGGTGGTTCGGAACAAGTAATCTGTTCCCATTGGGGTGCCTATGACACACATTGGGTGTCAGATCAGATACCAGAAGCTTTGGAACCCAACAAGCTGATACTTTCTTCATTGGCAAAGTGTCTGTGATAATAGAATGTCCTCTCTCCTTGGAATTGCCTACAGAACAAACACTATGATGCTCAGTCATCCCCAAGTGGTGGACTCTCTTGGATCATTATTGGTGTTGATGCCATAGGCCTTCCAGGATGGGGGTCATCTTCAAGGCTCTCCATTCCACCTTAAACTGTGCCATCACTTTACAGTGGCATAGGAATGGGCATCCTACCCTAGTGTTGTACGCAGATCTTCAAGGTTAACATCAGAGAATAACCAGTCTAGATTATCTGCCAAAACCGATTCCATTGGGTGTCAAAGGCAAAACAGCTTTGAAAAGGATATGAATAGCTCAGTGAAAATCAGTGATGTCATGAGGTTATATCAGGTACCACAACATGCAAACAACCAGGTCACTGAGTCTTACAACCGGATCCATTTGGTGGCCTCTTATGACCACCAAAGACCGCTGCGGACTTATTCTAACTCAGCTGGTTGGTTGGTTTGTTGTTTAACACCGCACTCAGCAATATTCCAGCAATATGACGGCGGTCTGTAAATAATCGAGTCTGGACCAGACAATCCAGTGATTAATATCATGAGCATCGATCCACGCAGTTGGGATCGATGACATGCATCAACCAAGTCAACGAGCCTGACCACCCAATCCCGTTGGTCGCCTTTTACGACAAGCATAGTCGCCTTTTACGGCAAGCATGGGTTGCTGAAGGCCTATTCTACCCCGGAATCTTCACGGGTCTCTAACTCAGTACCGGCACCAGGGACCCCTGACAGAGAACAGTAGTGATGTGCTATGTCTGGCAAACTGCTGATTTGTTACTTCATAGACTGAACTATGGCCAATTTGTTTTCACTCAGAACACAAATAAAAGATTGGAATGTCACATATCATTTATTGCAGAAATATCCACATCATATAATCAACATTACACAGGCAAAGACTGCAAGACCACCTACATGCATACATTCAGTGGTTATACAGGTGTAAATATGTGTTGGTGTTATGACTGTGCGAATGCCTGATTGATTATGTGACTGAATGTATCAGTATTGTTTTGGGTGGGCAACTATTGGCTTGCTTCCATATTTTCAGTTTTAAGAGAAATCAAAATGGTACATATATTCTTGCTATAAGCTCCAATACAGAAAGCAACAGACTTTTCTTAATTTCCAAGGAATCTAATAACTCATAGGCAGGAAACTTTTCTTAATTTGTAAACAAAACAGGGATAAAAAATTCTTCCTTTTGGGCGGTCTTATTAAATAAGATGCATTAGTTGACTGATAAGAATCCAGATTATCTAGTCAAGATCTTTTTGCAAGCGTCCTCTATGAGGTTGGAGTTGTTTGGAGATTCAATGGCAGACAAAAGAAAGAAAAAACAAACATTTTGTTTCTCTCTTAAAATTTTGGTAACATTGAAGCAATGACATGACCATATTCTTAAGCATGAAAAAAATGTAATGTAAAATAGGCTTTAAGGTCGCATACCAAGATTATTGCACTTACATAGTGATGTATGTGTGTTTGTGAGTGAGAGCGAGAACACTGTCGCACTCGGCAATATTTCAGCTATATGACGGCGACCTGTAAGTAATCGAGTCTCATCCAGACGATCCAGTGATTGACATTGTGGGCAATGAGGTACGATGACAGGCCATCAGCTAAGTCAACCACCCTGACCACCTCATCCATGAAGTCCCCTCATCCCTCTTACAACTAGCATAGGTTGTGTGGACCAATTCACGCATGCATCCTAGTACGGACAAATGATGATTTGATAGCACAAGCCAACTGAGCCAATGCTGCAGTTTAACATGAATACCCAAATTAGAGAATACTGATACAGTATAGACTCCAGCCGACCAGTCCTTGCCCCTTTAATGCTGAGCCCCAGGCATAGTAACAACAAGTACCATCTTTAAATGACTGTCTGGGATCTGGAGGCAGTCATGCGTGTGTGTGAGAGAGAGTTACCTGCCCTTGCTTCAGATTTCACCATGTTGTTAATGGTCGAGTTAACTGACCTTGCCAGGTATTGACATTCCCCCAAAGAAAAATTATTTGAGGGGTGGGAAGGGAAATTGAAACAGCACGGAAATGAGAATTTAAACACCATTTTGTTGTCCTATAAAGATCACATTTGATCTCTGAACTTCGGATTACTCCACTTCAGATGATAGGAAAAATATGTCCTTAATCGTACTTCGGATCCTGACTATCTATTCATCATAAACTAAATTTTCTTTCAAGGAGAACAGGATGCCCTTGCATCCATTCGCACATTTCGTGTAGAGAAAGTAAGTGAGCGAGTGATTGTGTTTAACATCTCTTTGAACAGTGACACCTGTGCGTGTCAGCTTAATGTGGGAGAAAAGCCCTAAGTGATGCAGATCTCAGACATTAACCACTTCAGTGAAACCCATGAGCACGGGTAAGGTGCAGACAAACCTAGAAACATAATCGGGGCTAAACAAGAATCTGAACCACTATCACAAGTTTCAGGCATTCCCAAGGGAGGTAACTCTACCAAATAAAAGTTTAAAAAACCATAAACACCTGGAACATGACACCATGTTTATCGGACTGGTCTTTTTTGCATCACTAACACTATCCATTACAGGACAAAGATATTTACTTCCATAACAAAACTGGCTTGTATGGTGCCAGATGTTGTTATATCTGTACATAACAGAATGCTCAGATAAATACAACTCAAAAAGTCAACTGCAATGACAGTTTAACAATAGTCACATGAAGAAACGGGTGTTATTTAACTTCTTTACAGAAGTATATGTTGTGTCAACTTATTACTGTACTCACTTGCTCAGAATAGGAAAAAATATATCACTGGAGTGTGTTTCTACTACAACACATGTCTCCCCCTCCCTTGTTTTGATACATTAGTTCAAGTTGTTGCCATAAATATGTTTGCAAATCTGAAAAACAATACTATCAAGTTGTAGCTTGGAAAGATAATGGTTTCCATGGAAATGTAACAAAATATAATTTAGAAAAAAGTTAAGAGAACAATAGCAAAAGGCACCAATTAAGCTGATGAGCTATGCAAGGTTTTCAAGTTATGGCCCATTTGAGACTAAGTCAAAATTGTTTCCATAGAAACATAAAAAAATAAAATTTAGAACTTTTTTAAATAGCAATCAATGCACTTGCCAGGTTTAGTTGAAAAACATTGAACTTCCCATGAAATATTCCCTCCAGTTGAACATTCCTCTCCCATCAAAATGATCACTGAAATTGATAAGATTTGATAAATATTTCTATTTTAAATACATTAAGAGATACATGTAGATTAATACCAAACAAATTACAGACCAATGTTAGATGTAATTTTGTCATTGGAAAACATATCAAACAAAAATACATAAAAACAATCAAAACAATCACGCAAATACATCATAATGCATTTGTCAGTAACACACAACACCAACGGCACAAAGAAACAAATTATTTGTCGTCTTGAATATTTGTTTCCAGTTTCAGCAATGAAATATTGGCAGAAATCCCCAACATAACAAATCAGCACAAACACTAGGAGCTTAGGGTGTTGAACACAACACCCTACTGTACAAGGGGGAATAGTGTCCAGTCTGGATGGGGAGTCTAGTCTCATATAACACACGATGTCTATGAGAGTATGATAATCCCTGAAACTGAATAAATCCTAAACGCAGTAGATGATGAAAGTGGATTTTCAACGGTTGTACAACGATGCAGAAGGCCACGATTTGACACGTATCTCGATACACGATCACGATACAATACGTCTTGATACACCACAATAAGAACACAAAGGCCATGAACTGAAAAGATATTTTTAATTTAAACAAAAAATAAAGTCACTTATATTAGAGGCACTTGCAACAGCAACTGATAAAGCCCTTTCACTCACAAGTGGGATGTAAACTTGATACAAGATAGGGTTATTCCTTTAGGTAAATATGTACTTTGTATTATAATGTATAGCTATACAGGCCCATATGTATTATATCGTATCATTTGTTGTTGTTTCATTCCACATTCAGCAATATTCCAGCCATATAACGGCAGCCTGTAAACAATAAAGTGTGGACCAGACAATCAAGTGATCGATATTGTTAGCAACGACTCACACCGTCCGTACACCGTAGGAAGACTCGCTATCAACCGTGTGTGACCACCTGAACCACTTGATCGCCCTTACGACCAGCATAGGTTTCTGGGGACCAACTCCTACCTGGAATCCCTACAGAGTACCTGAACCCCTTGATCGCCCTTAGGACCAGCATAGGTTTCTGGGGACCAACTCCTACCTGGAATCCCTACAGAGTACCTGAACCCCTTGATCGCCCTTAAGACCAGCATAGGTTTCTGGGGACCAACTCCAACGTGGATCCCTACAGAGTACTCTCATACCAAAGGCCATGTATAAAGTAGTCGGAATCTGGTCCCCAGTTGACATAGGAGTGAGTGAGTGAGTGAGTGAGTGAGTTAGTTAGATTTAACATCACTTTGAACAGTTATATCACGGCATGTTAGCTTGATGTTGGAGGAAAGCCCAAAGTGATTTAGATCTCGGGCGTTTACCACTTTACAACAAATACAATGGAAAGATAACAAAAGAATTTTTTTTCAAATTTTTGGTATAAAATATTCCAGTGTCCTTCGTATGCTGTATGAACATCAGCAGATAAACACCACACATCAATAATGAACATGTCATACAATAAATAGCACACAGTTTGTCTAAAACAAACTGCACGGCAAGATCAAGTCAACTTAGTCAATAACAGTGTCAGATATTACCCCAAGTCAGAACCATTTATCCTCAGCAGTGTTATGCAACAACATACCAAAGTATTTATAACATACAGCACGATATTGTTGATGTTATGATGCATATTATACACATCTCAAACTAAAACTGACTGAAATGATTGCAAGTGGATAAGGCAAAAAGCTGACTTTTCAAAGAGGCCATTCTGATGTCAAAGGATCACATTACCTTAATTCATAATCGGACAGAAAATGAACTTCATCTGTGAAAATGTTGATCTGTACCACTTTGTAAGCCATCTGATGTGCAGATAATTACAAGAATTTGTCAAATGAAACATATCCTTACAGAATGAAGATAATCAATGATGTATAGCATATAGCATCATAGTGTAGAGTTTCTTATAAGCTGAACTTGTACATCTTGAGATATTTTGATATCTACAGATAACTGTGAAGGCTGTGCCCTTTTCAATAGCACCACCAATCTCCGCACAGTGCTAGGTTATAAATTCCATATTTTTATCCAAAAGATTTCAGATATCAAATAAATTTGCAAATCTGATCTGACCTTAAAAGTATTCTCAAATTTGTTACATTCCAAGTTGACGATTCATTACGAAATATCACTATTGAAATGATGGACGGTATTATCACAAGAAAAGAGGGTGTGTCTGCCTGTGTGTTAATCGTTTCCGGCACGTGGGGCAGCAGTGTTGAGCTCGGATGGCCTGTCCGATACATTCATCACAGAACAGATGACCACATACTGTAGACATTATCTGACGGTTACTGCGGCGAATCTGAAAAATGTCAGAAAGCAGAACATTAACAGTAGAATACAGCCTTCAAAATTCACATTGTCTGCTAGACGGAGACTTCTAAATTATGCAAAGGACAAGTAAAAATCCAACGATGGTAATCCTCATTGACTAGTAGCAATTGCGAAATACATTTCTGAACCAGTTCTCAATCCTTCAACTTTGCTACAAATTGGAACTAAATAAAACTGACAGAAAATGTAAACTCAGTAAATATATTTGTCTTGTTCAAAGGAGGATTAGAAACAAGCTCTGAAGAGAAGTGAAAGAAGGTTAACACTAGTCTTCAAAAACAATAGTTTCGAAGACTGAGAATATCTACATATTAACATTTCAACAGTTTGGTGGGCCATGGAGGACATTTTTGATGAAAAGGTCAAAGCATTAACATAATTCCGACAGGTACGAATTGGGTATACTTTGATACCATGTAACCGAAACATGAAATAGCAATATAAACAGAACAAAAACGTCTTGTCAATGATGTCTACTCGAACAGCTTTGTGCCACACTCAGCAATATTCAAGCTATATGATGGCAGGCTGTAAATAATCAAGCTTGGACCAGACAACCACGAGAACCATTTAGTCGCTTCGTATGACGACCAACACAGGGTGCTGGGTACCAATTCTAATCCGGAATCCCCTCGGTTAACCTACTTTAAAGTTTTAATCATTAGTGAACACAGATAAAAGATTTGGTAGGAAGAAAAAAACTTGGTGTTGGTCAATCAGTAAAACATATAAAAAAATGAACACCTCATTTATCAGAATTAATGCAAAGCCAAAATATGTCTGTTTGTGTAATGCTGCATTCAGGAATTGTCCAGCTTCATGACAGCAGCCCGTAAATAATAGAGCCCAGATCTGGACACAATGTGATTGATATCATGAGCAACGATCCAGGCTGCCAGGGCACAAACGACAAGCTATCAGCCAAAATCTTGAGCCTGACAACCCAATCAATGAAGTCGTCTTTTATGCCCGGGGCTTACTTCCGACCTGAACTCCCCACTGGGTCTAAATTACAGTAAGAATGGAATCCCCACTTGGCTGTTGTGTATGTAACCTACAACAACACACCTGTTTGTCATCATCCATACAGATAGGACAGGTGATGGTGATCTGCTGTGGAGATGTCACAACCCCGGAACCCTCTCCACTCGGCCTGGAACACAGAACAGATCTATCATTACTTGTTACAGAATGTTATTGGTCAGTTTCCGTCTTATGCTGGTCATCCTGTATGAATATTGTGATGTCATATTGTTGTTCACGTCACTGTTTATTATCCTGGTCGCAATTCGAGTTACCAAACTTAGTTAAGACTGAAATGGGTAATCGAGTATGATAATTACTAGAGTACATCGAAAGTTATCTCCCGTGTTACGTTAAATTACCTCCCTTTCTTAGCAAACCCCCAAATTGCTTATTTTCAAAGAACAACAACTCAATGAGTACTTACATAGTTCATTCATCATGTACGAGACTAGCGTGTAGTAGACTACAACTGTCAAACATACACGATGAAGCTGGTGCTAAACAGCAGCCCTCTAAGTGGCGACCATTTTAGTCGCCAATGCCACCTTATTTTATGATTGGCGCCCTAAATTGATCTACCAGTCGCCACATGGCTACCTTATCTTAAACCCAGTTGGCGACTATTGTGGAAATTTACGTAGAGCCATGTTTTTATATGTTCGCGATCGTATGACGAAAGTTCTCAGATGTCTGCGGATTTGCACGAGTGATTCCGAAAGTTATTTTGGACATACACGACTGAATCCAACTGAAGGTTTTAACCAATAAACTCTTTCGCGCAAAATGACAGAATAATACGAATGAATCCAAACGTACGATTTAACCAATCACTGATTTGCGAAAAAGTGACGGACTTAAAAGAGTCAGTGACAGCCAGTGACAGTCGTCGTTATAGTAACTCACGCCAAAATGGCGGACGCCGATCACAGCCTTCTGTTTCCATTATTTAGGCCTAATGAGCGAAACAACCCAACAAAAAAGACAGAAAAACGAAAATTGGAAACACCGAAAACAGAAGCAAAGCGTAAATTCAAAACAGAATGGATGTCAACCTACACATAGCTTAGATATGACGATGAGAAAATGTCGTCCGTACTGTGTTGCCGAAATGATTGCAACTATTGCAAATGAAATGAAGTCTGATGTGGCTAATACTGTGAATAACAGCAGGTACATATCAGTGATGTTTGACTCTGCAACTGACTGTTCAATCAAAGAGACAGAAGCTGTTGTAGTTAGGTGCTTGGGTTCTGATGGAAAGCCTGTCAATAAATTACTTGGCCTTGTTGAACTGCAACACGCTCACGCTAATGGTATCATTGACGCTATCTCAAGTCAATTTATGGACATAGGCAAAGATGAGTTTAAGGAAGATTTAGTTTCCTTGTGTGCCGATGGAGCATGTGTGAACCATGGTAAAAGAGGTGGAGTGAGGGGCAAGCTGAATGAAACCTGTCCATGGATCATTGGCATTTGGTGTTTGCCACACAGGTATGTCTTTCTGCATGAAAAATATGAAAATGACAAGATTGTTAACGCATGAAATTTAGACTAACTTAGAAATTTAATTCAGAATAATTTATAATTGAGGTTACAATGAGTATAAGGCCAAAGATATGTTTTATGTCAGAAACAAATTTCTTTATAAGTAAGAAACATTATCACTGATAATGAGCTACTTTGTTTTATTTTTAACTGTAAAAGTTAAATCCTAATTTTGACTATGTTACAGACTGGAGCTAGCCATGATGACAATGTTGAAGACCTGTGATATGGCAGCCCAAGTCATTAAGGTTCTGGATCTCCTGTATAGGACTTATCATTGGAGCTGCAAGAGCAAGCGAGAATTGAAAGCTATTGCAGAAACCTTGGATATTTCAGCCAGAAATCCATCCAGAGCTACTGGAACACGATGGACACCCCATATGGAAAAGGCGCTGAGCATCTTACTTAAATCATCTGGCGATGATGTGGCGAATAACCCTGGTCAGTATTCTGTTGTCCTTAAACATGCAGAACACCTTGCAGTGCAGAACAAGAATGCAGATGTTGCTGGAGGAGCCAAGTTTGTTGCAAAATTACTTCAATCCTTGAAGTTTGTGTTCTTCTGCCATTTCCTCCTGGACATGCTATCGGTTGTAGCAAAGCTGAGTAAAACCCTGCAGAGTGACAACACAACTTTACCTAGTGCAGTGGCAGCCATCCATGGCTGTCTGGTGGAAATCGAAAACTTGCAAGTTCGCCCGAGGCCAAATGGTCATCTGAAATCTTTCCTTGAATGTGTTCAGTCACAGCCAGAAGGTGAATCAGAAGGAGTTCGTTTCCAGGGTACTGAACTGAAAGGTTCATGTGGTGATATTGATGTCATGGACTTTTCTACCCTTCCTCTCTCGTACACTAAGGCTATAAGGGAGTCAGTTCAGGAAGCTGTCTCTGGACTTACTGAGAGATTCAGTGTACGTCTTGGTTCCTCCACTTCAACTGACCAATCTGCGAAGGTTGTAGCCAGCATGAGAATATTCAACCCTGATATTTGGCCAGATGACTGTTCCAGTCTGTCTTCATATGGGGAAGATGAGCTCCAGACCCTTACAGATTGGTATTCACACAGACTTGAGAGGTTAGTTGTAACAATATTCAAAGACATTAATTTTGAATCCTTTTAAGATCACTGCAATCTGGCAACCTCTGAGTTCTGTGTTTCCCTAAGGAAACTGTTGTTTATTTATAAGTAACAGTCTCAGTAACAAGAATTACTGAGTGATTTTGAATAAATCATGGTTTCATTTTATTCAAACAGATAATGGTGAAATGTAAGATTTTTCTCAAATGTGTATCCAGCTTAAAAATTAAAGTTTCCTTTAATTCCAGAAAAGGATGCAAAACTGAGGCCATTCTTCACCAGTGGTTGCTCTTCAAGAAACTCGTGCAGAGGGAATTCAAAGACAAGTCCTTCTTGGGCCTGTATGCTGTCATGATTTCTAGAGAACCCTACAAAACAGACTTTAAGGTAATTTAATACAGATTAATTAATTGTATTAAGAATTCTTAATGAAACAACACCCAGAAGATCTGTTTTCAGAATTTGAGTTGATATGCATATTTGTAGGACAAATAGATGTGTAGTCTAGGACATGAAGTATTTTTCACATTTATTAATGAACTCATTGATACACATCAATGTCATAACAATATTATTTCAATTTACAGGATCTGCTTCACTTGGTTGAAATCATGCTGATACTTCCTGTAACCTCAGCAAGCTGTGAGCGGATTTTTTCAGCCCAGAAGAGAATAAAGACAGATTCTAGGTCAGCTCTCCATGTTGATACCATGGAAGATCTAATCAGAATTTCTATTGCAAACATCTCGATCGAAGATTTTGCACCACAGCCAGCCGTCCTGAAATGGATGATGTCAGGACAATGTCCTCGTAGACCTACCTACAAAGAATGGCTTGTTCCATTTCCCAGTGTTGGATGTCCCTACATCTCTGAGTGATTTGAACCAGTCAAGTGATTGTAATGACCAGTGTTGTGCTGGACAGTGATTGAGCTAGATGTACAGTTGCATTGAGATAGATGTACACTTCTGATGGACAGTCAGTGTTTGAGAAAGTTAACCAGTTTCAGTTGTCATTTGTGGCATTATTATTGGAAATTTAAGTGAGTTTTGGAAACGTAACGGTATTACGTGTTGTGTTGCACAGTGAGATTAATCCCTTAATCTGAACAATATTGTTTCAGCTGGCTTTTGCAGCAATTTAACACCAAGATACTGAATCTTGAGTTCAACATGATAAGAGAACTTGCTTTTGCTGTTTTTTGTTGTAAATATTTGGCTCCTTGAAAAATACCCTTGGCTCCTAAAGATGTAGGTTTGGCTCCCAGATATTTTACCTTAGGAGCCACCTGGTACCCTGGCCAAAAAACGAACTTAGAGGGCTGAACAGTGAAATAAAGATTCTATAACACTGCCAAGACAAGAACTTGTGAGCAGGAAAACACACCATAAGAGGCGATACGATCCCTATACATTAGTCAGACATAACAGTATGTAATCGGGTATATCATGCGTCACATGTTTTCACATATGACATCTTTACATGAACAACCGCGTAGCTGGAAGGAACAATCGATACAGTATAAAACTTATAATCGATCCAGAATGGGTCTGGTGAGGGTTGGAAAAGAGGCAATCCAGCAAAAGTGGTGGCCCATAGAATGGTTGAGCAAATGCCAAAATGAGATTGAAACTTCTGTTGTGGTCACGCTTTCCATTTGTGGTTGTAGTGGGTTATAGCAGGGGAATGGTGAGCCTCCGTGATAGTCTTGCCTACCCTCAGAAACAGTTCACCATCAAGTTTGGGTGCACAAACAGTCTTGGACAGTCCAAGTGTGCCGGAATCTTCCACAAGAATCAAGGGGTCTGTAGTTGATTCCGTAATTGTCTGTAAGACTTAAAACCCTGGTCGAGGTTGGTCGCAATATCTGTCAAGACAGGCCTGTGAGGGAGCACAATATTCGAGAAACCGGCAGAGGAAACTGCAAAGCAAAATAAACAATCCTCAGCTGAAGTATTGCATTTGAGCTGCAGCGTATCCGCAATCCAATGAAGATCCAGCGCAGAGTAAAGGGAAGGAAAGGACGTCGGGTATCTACATGGTGATGGCAATCAGAGGGTGAATCCCGATGAGGAGAGCGGTATTAACCAGTGTGGGAGTGCAATTCAGGATAGGACGAAGCATAAGCATGATTAGGATAAACACACCAGGGACACTGTTCTTGCTGGCTTTTGAAACCTGCCAGTCCCAGTTGACTGACAAATTCAATGATGTCATCGCTGAAGTAAAGTAGTTCAATCCACACATCATTCACACAAAGTTCAGTCACAATTTTCTCTTTCTTTCTGTTATTTTTTTAAGGGGGTCAATCGAAGCGTAGTCGAGGCAGGATCAAGGTAGCTGGTGGTTATGATGTAGACTTGGACCCTGGCGCTTCAGGGATGGCCTGTTGATCCGGTACAGTAAAGACGTCATTGGTAAGAAAGCTATCTGAGACACCATCATCCAGAGTCTTTTGGGGGTATTCAACGGAGGAGGTTTGGTTGACTTCTTAAGTCTTCTTGGCAGAGAATGGGTTGTGCTTCTCCGAATCCTGTGATTTCGAGCACTGGTCAAACTCTCATCTGTTTCACTTGTGTTAATATACATTGAAGGGTTTCATTAAATGTTCACATTTAGAACAGCGCTCGTCAAGACTGCACCAGTCACAACATACATAGTGAGGGTCAGAGTTGGAACAGTTACATTACACAATTCCGACAGACCGGGAGAATGGAGGATGTTGGAGGGGAGCCAGCAAGAAAAAAACGAAACTATATTCTCCAAAACACTCGGTGCACTTCTCCACTGTGTGGCAATGAGAAGGAGAAGGATGTGGCAGGGGTATTCACGTGATCAGGTCGCAATGCACAGGATTATAGTGTGTGACCCATTTGTTTAGACGGTGACCATGGTGATGCTGGGTTGTGTTCAGGTGATTTGTTTTTTAGAAGCTGGAAACTTTGTTCAAGCTGGCTCACACATAGTTTTAGATAGGATAAGTTTAAAAATTAACTAATTTTGTTATTAATCGATATATATCAACATATCGTGATACTTTTGTAGATATATCAATTCTAACCTTTCCAATCAATGACACCCCTAATGTCCCCTACCTGCATGAGACCTGTGAAGATCCAGGTCAGAATTGGTCACTGAATTGTCTGGTTGAGACTTGACTATTGACAGGCCAATGTCCTTTCGCTGGAATAACCTGAGTTTGGCATTAAACAATAAACAAACACACCTGTAAGGAGTGCCTGTGGTATCAAAGCTGGGAAGTTCATCATCATCTGAGTCAGACTCTTGAAGTATTCTTTGTGATCTTGGTGCAGTCCGCCTTGATAAACTACGACCCCTCCGACGACCTCGACCTCTAAGTGACCTTGGCCTCCTATTCCCACTGATGTCAGCTGAAAGAATAACAGTTTTGCTTCGTAACCCATCAACACTGATAGGAATATTGGATTGTAATCTTTACAAACGAGGCAGTTTCATGTATTGACTTTCTTCATGACAATTCTGATCTCAAACTGTAACACCCGGTACAAGAGCCGTGAATCTGATATTTACTATTTACATCCCTCCTCTCATTCTCTCTTTCTTTCGTGATCTCTCAATCTTTTTCTACCGAACCCCATGACTTTGCACTTTCTCAATTTCGCAATCTCTGTCTTAGCATCATAACTGGATGACAGCGAATCTGCCAAGTAGCTAAGGGAGGCAACTCCGCTCACTGAATCTTCAGAGTTATGACAGGAAGACATTGTCACAAATGTAGGATGGCCTTAAAATTAAATATAGTCAAACCACAAGAGCTTATCAAACTTGTTGAAAGAAATAATTTTAAGAGTTAAAAACTTCCCCACTTAAGAAAAATTTAATTCAAGTAAATGAAATGAATAGTCAACTTACCATCAATGGCTGATAGCACCTGTGAAGGAAAATGAATTGTTTGAAATATTATCACTCCGTAACCATGCCAATAAAACTTACAAGTTAGATACTTCTACCTAGAGGACCAGAAGAGGTCGATTTAAGCTGTTTCCATGACCAATGCTAAGATGAAGCTACACTGAGACTGAATGAGTGTTGTTTTATGCCACAATCAGCATTCTTCACTTCATCACAGCCACCTGTAAATAATCAAGTGGGCCCAGCTGACAGCAGGAACAACGATACACGTCATCAGGGAACGATGAGATGAGAGATAGGGTTTAACATCACGTTCAAGATTATTGCACTTATATAGTGACGTGCTTGTATTAGTCCAGACTGATACTGGTTTTATAGTGCTAGCCTACTGAGATACTCAGACACAGTACACAGACTCCAAGCTGACCAGTCCTTTATCCCCTAATGCTGACCGCCAAGCATGTAAAGGCAAGTACCATCTTTAAACGTCTTTTGGTATTTGGTAACGTGATTTGAATCGAACCACGGACCTTTCAGTGTTTAGTGAGACGTTCTATCCACTACACATGGGCTGTCAGGGACGATGATCCACAATCACACAGGTTAGACATGGGCACTACCCCATCTTACAGCTGTGATGGGGGATGTATTCTGACTCCATGATAACAAAAAATTAGGAAAAAGATTACTAGGGGAGGCTGAAACATTCTGAGCCTAATTATGATGTTGTTTGCTGATTATCTTTCAAAATAATCTCCCCTGAGGTCCACACACTACTGCCAACAATGCTGGAGAGCCGTTACCATTGGTGTAGAAGGAGTCCTCCTTGTGGTGTAAACGGGGCACAGCGGAAATGTCATCACCATCATTTGCAGTTCTTTCTTTAATTTTAGGAAGAGGTAGAAATATGACTGTGTTAAATATGGTGAAAGCCAGTCACGTATGGAAGCCAAGGTGATAACAGACCTGTGCACATGTGAATATTACTGATGGAACAAGACAACTTTAGTGAGTTTTCCAAGATGTTTGACATTGAAATTCTCTTTCAGTTAACGGAGCAGATCAGCCAGTGTTCATTAAAGTTGAAAAAAATGTGGGCCCTTCCGACCCTCTTGTTACAAAAAAGGGGTCATTTTCAAAAGTGGAGCCACAAACTACTGGGTGATCCTTAATCTCAGCATGGTGAGTGAGTGAGTTTGGTTTTACGCCACTTTTAGCAATATTCCAGCAATATCATGGCGGGGGACACCAGAAATGGGCTTCACACATGTCGGGAATCGAACCCGGTTCTTCGGCATGACAAGTGAACGCTTTAACCACTAGGCTACCCGACAGCCCCCTCAGCATGGTGTGTCAAGGACAAGATTTGCCATCTTTTCCCATGTTTAAGTCAAAAACTCAGTTGTGTCCATGACGAATGACACTACTGCTCTGCCCATGTTGGCTTAAGCTAATCGTAAGATTGTTTATAAAAGACAAGAGATAATCAAACAGCATGTTTTACGTGTCAGATACAACAAAGTTCCTGACAGCAATGTTTCATTCACTGTGTTAGGTGAGGTGAAATGGGGTTTAACGTCACGTCCAAGATTATTGCACTTATATAGCGACGTGCATGTACGTGTGTGTGCTTGTGTGGCTGCTTGTACTAGGCCGGACTGATGCCGATTTATGGTGCTAGCTCACTGAGATACCATGCCGCAGTTTAACATGAATACCCCACTCAGACACAGTATACTGACTCCCAGCCGACCGGTCATTGTTTTAGCCCCTTAATGCCGAGCACAAGACAGGGTAACAACAAGTACAATCTTTTAACGTCTTTTTGTATGACGCAGACGGGGATCGAACCCTGGACCTTCCGCTCTCCGGGCGGACACTAGACCACGGAGACGGTCTCTTTATCAGATGGTAGCAACATAAGGTGGACTAAACCGATAGGGCATGCTGTTCACCTGGTTCTCCACTTAGCTATCAGTGTGGTACTCACAACAACAGGGCTGTCATTAACACTGGTCAGATCAATCACTTCATCATCGTCAGTCGTCAGGTCAATGCACATGCCATTATGATTCGTATCTGAAACACAAAAACCAGCGTTAGAAATTGACACTAGTCCTGTAGTTCTTGCCAAACTGCCCAATAGTTAAGATATCATAAGAACTAGTAAAAATTTGACCTTTTCAAGGATTTTGCTATAGGCTATCATTATAAGGACTAGTGGACTGAATGCATTAGTTTCTACTGTGGAAAAACACTGGTAGATTAACACTATCACCAGGCTGTCTGTTCCTACGTAATTCACTGAAGAACAATTCATGTTCCCAGAAGTTCTTTTTCCTTAAGTTTTAATGATAGCATTTTCGCTGTATCATTCTATTCTGATATATACCCAGGAACCGTTTGCCACCAAAGCTTCATTTCAAGAGTGACGCCACTATCTCAATCTATCTTATCACTAGCTGTAACATAGTACCAGTATAACATTTCTTCTACTCATGAGCATGAAATCAATCTCTCTTATCACTAACTGTAACATAATACTGGTATAACATTTCTTCTACTCATGAGCATGAAATCAATCTCTCTTATCACTAACTGTAACATAGTACCAGTATAACATTTCTTCTACTCATGAGCATGAAATCAATCTCTCTTATTACTAACTGTAACATAGTACCGGTATAACATTTCTTCTACTCATGAGCATGAAATCAATCTCTCTTATCACTAACTGTAACATAGTACCGGTATAACATTTCTTCTACTCATGAGCATGAAATCAATCTCTCTTATCACTAGCTGTAACATAGTACCAGTATAACATTTATTTGCCTCATGAGCATGAAATCAATCTCTCTTATCACTAGCTGTAACATAGTACCGGTATAACATTTCTTCTACTCATGAGCATGAAATCAATCTCTCTTATCACTAGCTGTAACATAGTACCGGTATAACATTTCTTCTACTCATGAGCATGAAATCAATCTCTCTTATCACTAGCTGTAACATAGTACCAGTATAACATTTCTTTGCCTCATGAGCTGAAATCAATCTCTCTTATCACTAACTGTAACATAGTACCAGTATAACGTTTCTTCTACTCATGAGCTTGAAATCAATCTCTCTTATCACTAGCTGTAACATAGTAGCAGTAGAACATTTCTTCTACTCATGAGCATGAAATCAATCTCTCTTATTACTAACTGTAACATAGTACCGGTATAATGTTTCTTCTACTCATGAGCATGAAATCAATCTCTCTTATCACTAGCTGTAACATAGTACCATTTTAACATTTCTTCTACTCATGAGCATGAAATCAATCTCTCTTATCACTAACTGTAACATAGTACCGGTATAATGTTTCTTCTACTCATGAGCATGAAATCAATCTCTCTTATCACTAACTGTAACATAGTAGCAGTAGAACATTTCTTCTACTCATGAACTTGAAATCAATCTCTCTTATTACTAACTGTAACATAGTACCGGTATAACATTTCTTCTACTCATGAGCATGAAATCAATCTCTCTTATCACTAGCTGTAACATAGTACTGGTATAACATTTCTTCTACTCATGAGCATGAAATCAATCTCTCTTATCACTAACTGTAAAACTGTACCAGTATAACATTTCTTCTACTCATGAGCATGAAATCAATCTCTCTTATCACTAACCGTAACATAGTACCGGTATAACGTTTCTTCTACTCATGAGCATGAAATCAATCTCTCTTATCACTAGCTGTAACATAGTACCGGTATAACATTCCTCCTACTCATGAGCATGAAATCAATCTCTCTTATCACTAACTGTAACATAGTACCGGTATAACATTTCTTCTACTCATGAGCATGAAATCAATCTCTCTTATCACTAGCTGTAACATAGTACCAGTATAACATTTCTTCTACTCATGAGCATGAAATCAATCTCTCTTATCACTAGCTGTAACATAGTACCGGTATAACATTCCTCCTACTCATGAGCATGAAATCAATCTCTCTTATCACTAACTGTAACATAGTACCGGTATAACATTTCTTCTACTCATGAGCATGAAATCAATCTCTCTTATCACTAGCTGTAACATAGTACCAGTATAACATTTCTTCTACTCATGAGCATGAAATCAATCTCTCTTATCACTAGCTGTAACATAGTACCGGTATAACATTCCTCCTACTCATGAGCATGAAATCAATCTCTCTTATCACTAGCTGTAACATAGTACCAGTATAACATTTCTTCTACTCATGAGCATGAAATCAATCTGTCTTATCACTAGCTGTAACATAGTACCGGTATAACATTTCTTCTACTCATGAGCATGAAATCAATCTCTCTTATCACTAGCTGTAACATAGTACCGGTATAACATTTCTTCTACTCATGAGCATGAAATCAATCTCTCTTATCACTAGCTGTAACATAGTACCAGTATAACATTTCTTTGCCTCATGAGCTGAAATCAATCTCTCTTATCACTAACTGTAACATAGTACCAGTATAACGTTTCTTCTACTCATGAGCTTGAAATCAATCTCTCTTATCACTAGCTGTAACATAGTAGCAGTAGAACATTTCTTCTACTCATGAGCATGAAATCAATCTCTCTTATTACTAACTGTAACATAGTACCGGTATAATGTTTCTTCTACTCATGAGCATGAAATCAATCTCTCTTATCACTAGCTGTAACATAGTACCATTTTAACATTTCTTCTACTCATGAGCATGAAATCAATCTCTCTTATCACTAACTGTAACATAGTACCGGTATAATGTTTCTTCTACTCATGAGCATGAAATCAATCTCTCTTATCACTAACTGTAACATAGTAGCAGTAGAACATTTCTTCTACTCATGAACTTGAAATCAATCTCTCTTATTACTAACTGTAACATAGTACCGGTATAACATTTCTTCTACTCATGAGCATGAAATCAATCTCTCTTATCAGTAGCTGTAACATAGTACTGGTATAACATTTCTTCTACTCATGAGCATGAAATCAATCTCTCTTATCACTAACTGTAAAACTGTACCAGTATAACATTTCTTCTACTCATGAGCATGAAATCAATCTCTCTTATCACTAACCGTAACATAGTACCGGTATAACGTTTCTTCTACTCATGAGCATGAAATCAATCTCTCTTATCACTAGCTGTAACATAGTACCGGTATCACATTCCTCCTACTCATGAGCATGAAATCAATCTCTCTTATCACTAACTGTAACATAGTACCAGTATAACATTTCTTCTACTCATGAGCATGAAATCAATCTCTCTTATCACTAGCTGTAACATAGTACCAGTATAACATTTCTTCTACTCATGAGCATGAAATCAATCTCTCTTATCACTAGCTGTAACATAGTACCAGTATAACATTTCTTCTACTCATGAGCATGAAATCAATCTGTCTTATCACTAGCTGTAACATAGTACCGGTATAACATTCCTCCTACTCATGAGCATGAAATCAATCTCTCTTATCACTAACTGTAACATAGTACCGGTATAACATTTCTTCTACTCATGAGCATGAAATCAATCTCTCTTATCACTAGCTGTAACATAGTACCAGTATAACATTTCTTCTACTCATGAGCATGAAATCAATCTCTCTTATCACTAGCTGTAACATAGTACCGGTATAACATTCCTCCTACTCATGAGCATGAAATCAATCTCTCTTATCACTAACTGTAACATAGTACCGGTATAACATTTCTTCTACTCATGAGCATGAAATCAATCTCTCTTATCACTAGCTGTAACATAGTACCAGTATAACATTTCTTCTACTCATGAGCATGAAATCAATCTCTCTTATCACTAGCTGTAACATAGTACCAGTATAACATTTCTTCTACTCATGAGCATGAAATCAATCTCTCTTATCACTAGCTGTAACATAGTACCGGTATAACATTCCTCCTACTCATGAGCATGAAATCAATCTCTCTTATCACTAGCTGTAACATAGTACCAGTATAACATTTCTTCTACTCATGAGCATGAAATCAATCTCTCTTATCACTAGCTGTAACATAGTACCGGTATAACATTCCTCCTACTCATGAGCATGAAATCAATCTCTCTTATCACTAACTGTAACATAGTACCGGTATAACATTTCTTCTACTCATGAGCATGAAATCAATCTCTCTTATCACTAACTGTAACATAGTACCGGTATAACGTTTCTTCTACTCATGAGCATGAAATCAATCTCTCTTATCACTAGCTGCAACATAGTACCGGTATAACATTTCTTCTACTCATGAGCATAAAATCAACAACCAATCAAAATGCTTCTAAACGCGAGTTCTGTATAAATCTGTATTTAAAATCACAGGTTAGTACAAGAGGGCACTCAAAATATTTATTTGAACATGAAGACTGTAATGTGTGTACTGTTTGCAATGATGTTATCATCATAACATGATTAAGACGGGGAGGAAAGTTCTTCAATACAACACGTACAAGACGTTCCGGGTTGTACTTGTTGAAAATCCTAGGTCTGATTGATGTACAGCAGGTCCAGTAAAAATACATTAATCACCTTGATTCATAAAAGATTTTATGAGAAAGAAATGCAACGTTACTATTTGTTGGGATAATATATTGTGTTACAGGTGATATACAAACATCACACGAACATGACCATGATGACATTATAATCAATCGACATGATCAAACAATTGCATTGTTGTGAACATTTATCAAGAATAAGTGATGAAGTACTGTGAGGTACAGTCAACAGGAAATCTTTGTAACAGCGAAGTACCTAGATCTACCACATCTTCAGAAGCATTGGATGTTGAAGAGGATGTTGTACGTCTCAACAGGGACCGCACCTGACTCAGTCGTCTTGTGTGACGACGATTCGTACGGCGTCGGTTAGATGGAGTCTGAACAACAGAAATTATCACTTATTACTGTCACCATTGCTACAGTCTAGTCTTATACACAAGATCATTTCCCTATTGAACAGATTGTTTTGTTTATATGCAATATTTATTATAGGCAGCAGCCAGGAAAGAAAGAAGTTTTTTTTAGCTTCATAACTATTCTGCATAAATCCCCTGCCCTCGAGTGCTCTATTTGAGTGAGGTGAGGTGAAATGAGGTTCAGTGTTGCATTCAAGATCATTGCACTTACTTATCATGTATATAGCAATGTCAGTTTCATAGTGCTAGCCCACTGTGATACCATGCTGCTTGCCGAGGTTAGGTGAGGTGAGGTGAAATGGGGTTTAACGTCACGTCCAAGATTTTTGCACTCATATAGCGACGTGCATGTACTTGTGTGTGTTTGTGTGGCTGCTTGTACTAGTCCGGACTGATACCAATCTATAGTGCTAGCTCACTGAGATACCATGCCGCAGTTTAACATGAATACCTCACTCAGACACAGTATACTGACTCCGAGCCGACCAGTCCTTGTTTTAGCCCCTTAATGTTGAGCGCCAGACAGGGTAACAACAAGTACCATCTTTTAACGTCTTTTGGTATGACGCAGCCGGGAATGGAACCCCGGACCTTCCGCTCTCCCTTGCCGAGGTTAACATGAATACCGCATGTAAACTGACTCAAGGCGACCAGTCCCTGTTTTATACCCTTAATGCTGAGAGCTAGATAGGGTAACAACAAGTACCATCTTTTAACATCTTTTGGTATGATGTGGTATGAAACCACAACTTCCTCTCTCCCGCTAGACACTCTATCCACTACACCATGGAGGTGGTCGTGTCGTGTTGGGACTAACAGACAAACATATAATGATTTAAAACTCAACTGCAAGTGTAAGATTAATCTAAATTTGATGAAATGTAACACAAAAAATGAAATACTGCTCATTGTAATACAGAGATAATAATTTACTGCTAAAACAAATGGTTGGTACAAGCTGTCTGGTAAACAAAACAATGAACAAAATAAATAGCAAAAAAATAATACACATTACTCAAATACAGATTTGATATTCATATTAGACTTATTTGTTAATACTGATGGATCGGCAATTTTTGCATCATAGTTGATGACAAAGAGATTATTTATTTTGGGGTAACATTCCTAAGGTGCTAAGACATGCAAGAGACAGACAGAAACTAAAACAAGAAAATTCAGCAAATCAGAAGACTGTTAATGGACAAAATGTTCTCCTGAGTATCCAAGAAGGTAACAAGGCACATAGAATATTGGCTTGTTTCATCATAAAAGAAGAGTATAAATTGATTGGACATCTATATTTAGCATCAGGTCATTTGAAAATATTGAAACGGAAACTAAACTATTTTATCAAAACAGAATGAAGATATAATACACTGGATTATAGAGGATGGTCTGCCTTGGAACTTTCTCAAATATCACAAACCACTTGAAATCCTTCACCAGAATCAACAAAATGTGCCAAAGAAAGCGAATTCCAAAGGTTGGATTAATCAATGTTCTGTAACAGATGTCTAGAGAATGTTCATCACTGTCATGCTATCTGAAAGACAGTTGGAACTAGAAATTTCACTTACAAAGTAACACATTTCAGAACCATTTCAGTGATTTCACATCAATTCTAACGACAACGGGTAAGTAAAAGTACTAATACCAGACAGATGGCTCTAATGATGCTAAATCTGACTCTTATCATGTCACTGTCATATTTATGTATGGACAACACTCAATAATAATATACCAGCCTTAGCTGTTTATTGCAGTCCTGGGGGTAAGACATCATTTCTATCTGATCATATAGTCACCGTTTTCAGATCAACGCCAATGAAATGGGTGGAATCGAATATTGTCACTTTCTGTTTCAAATTTCAATGTCATAATGGCTGATCTGCGTAGTATAACAAGTACCAAATTAATGTCACTCAAAGGTGGTCTTGAAATATAAGTACCAGATCTAATCAATATGAACTGCTGCATGTAAAGTGTGTTTTTTTCCAGAGCGTAAATCGTAGCTTTTGAATCAGGTTGAAATGAGGTGAGACATGTTCCAAAACAAACCAAAAGGCTTACACTCATGCTCGTCGTCAGCCTTCGGAACAACACTGCCGCTGTCTACACAGCTGCAGTGGACACTGTCAGACAATAGATAATAATAATATGATGTCTGTGTAGTCATAAAAGTGACCAATTTGTCACATCATCTTTGAGATTTACGTCTTCCGATCCTGGCGCTGAACTAGCAAGGGACGTAATTGCTCACTGTCACATTGTAACCCGCTAGGAAATATAATCCACTCGTTGTTCCTCGTCTGTCCTCACTTTGAAGTCGAATCAAGTTCAACACACATCACGCACATAATGTGTAATTACACATAACAGTTTTGAATTCTGTTGGAGGTTCCCTGTTCTGTGATTTTACCCATTCTCATTTTAGGTAAAAAAAAACATTACTGAAAATGATCTCTGAAAATTAGGTACATCGCAAATCTCGCCTTTTTTTACGTACACGTTACATTACGAAATCACCATTCACGGCGTTATTTACAGTATGTTCAGAAATCAATATTTCAGATATTTACTCGGAGAAATTATAATTTATAAAATAACATCCCAGTGACCACCAATGATCATTCCAAAACGTCGACGATAACCCTAGAACCGTTTATAAAGAGTGTTTTGGAAAATACGCACCCAAGAACGCCATAGATCTATTGGATAGTGTTTACAAAATCCCGTGTGCCGGTTAAGAGACGCCTATTACATGACGTATGTTTCAAACTCAGCTGCGATACATGCATCCCTGAATTCCTAACACATTTTAGAATGAAATTACTAATTAATGGTCTCTGTCACAAGTACAAAGTGTTTAGGGGCCTTGGAAATCAAGCGAAATAAAATTAAGCCCAGGTGTGAAAACGAACGCTTTGCTTGGAAAACTGCACTTGTTGAAATGTAAACAAAGCAAAATTCAGTGTAGCATTTTCTCCTGTTTTGAAATATCCATCGTCTATTCATTGAACACATTGGCCCAACGTTTTTAAAAAATGCATGGGAAGAGAAGAAAAAGAATTCGAGAATAAAAATAAATATTTTGCAATGATTTGGAGAAAATTCGACAGATGAAGTTTCCATCATGCGTGACGCCATGACTGGCAAAATCACGCACAACGACAAGGGTATTTCATGAAAAGGCCTATTGTACGGCGCCTTATTTGTCACGGGTTTGAGAAAATTACATGGGGGTATGGATCATGGGGATGAGTAATCGTTGGAAAGATGTAACCAAACCTTTAAAAGAAATTTTATCGATGAGTATAGATCTAGATCTAATGGTATGCGTACGTACAAATACATAAATAATATAAACATATTCTAAAAACATTCCTTGATCTAACTGTAAATTATTACACTAAACATGTTTATGTTATTCAGGGAGCCACGGCCTGTCCTAGACTGGTTTACCAGCCCTAAAGCGCTTGCGCTCCTCGCCTGCAACTACTAGGAGGCGAAAGGCCGGGTACCAGTCTAGCGCTCCCTTTATTATGCCTCAAAGTCAGATTGACCAATCAGAGAGCAGAACTACTGACCCCACATGAGCCCGTATACCGTCAGTAAAATCCAAGATGGTTAATACTGACCTATACCGTCAGTAACAGCCATCTTGGATTTTTCAACACCCACCTCACATATATTTCACATGAAATTTCAGGTACAGAAATTCGTTATTCGACACTGTTTTGTGTTTTAATATCATTAATGTTGATGTGCAAGGACGTTCATGTTGGATCACGTTCGATACTTTAATAAGTTTATATAAAGTCAAAATTATCAACAAGGTTTGGCCTCTGATGTTTGAAGAGTAGTCTCCCTTTGACCCTTAACGTCTTAGGTTGTAAGTCTTAAGTTTTGAGTTTTAAGTTTTGACATGAAATGTGCGACAAAGATACCAAATAGTGTAAACTTTTCGGCATAATAAATTCGTTATGGTGTCTTTAGTTGCCGTATTCGGTGTCATATTAGGTTAGCAGAATAATATTGGGCGAGGCTGACACCATAACTAAGATAATTATGTCTCTATGACCCGTCAGTAAAATTCCAAGATGGTTGATACTGACCTACTATGAGACCGTATACCGTCAGTAACAACCATTTTGGATTTTCCAACACCCACCTCACATATTTCACATGGGAATTCTGGTACAGAAATTTGTTATTCGACACTGTTTTGTGTTTTAATATCATTAATTGTGATGAGCAAAGACATTATTTATTAAAGAAACCACGTTCGTGACTTTATTGATAAAAAAAATATAGAGAAAAAAGCTTAAAACCGAGGTCACTAATTTACAAATAGCAACGTCATAGAACATACTATAGGATGACGTCACAAACAAGAAACGTGACGCTAATGACGTCACATAGAAATAGAATAGACATTATCTGCATCATATATTCCATTGATAACGTTTATGTTTACGTTAAAGCGTTGTATATCGGAAACATATGTACTGGTCCTGTCGTTTATACCGTTGTAAGTGTCAAGTTTTCATTTTGACATGGGGCACGGGTGGCCAAGTCATCTAAGGCGCCTCGAGAGTTGCGTCCCTTGGGCACGCCAGACACCAATGATTGTGGGTTCGAATCCCGATTCGCCCTGATTATGTTTCTAGGTTTGTCAGCACCATATCCGTGCTCGTCATCTTCCCGAGGCAAAGGGAGTTAACTGACTATTAAAGTCCAGTTTCCACCCTTGCCGAACTAGGCTGGAATTTCTGGGCTCGTTCGTTCCATGCCTCTCCTATTGACCAATCAGATTCCACCTCTCGTATAACTTGCAATTGCTCTAAACAAAATGGCGGCGCCCAGTCAAAACGATCCTGATCGATAATCATGATTTATATTGTGATAAAACGGATCTTACATCGCGAAGTGCATCAAATCACGCGAGCACCTTGATTAAAAACATGAAAAGATTTGGAAAATATCTGTTGACAACGAGTCGGCGGTGCACATGCTTTGTAACTCCTGCAATCGACCGAAATCTGCACAACGGTTTACGAACCGGATTTCGATTTCGTTGCGCGATTTTGATTGGACTATGCATAAACTCGTTAGTCCAGCCAAAATGTTACTCCATAATACCAGCCTAGTTCGGCAAGGGTGGAAACTTGACTTTTATTGTCAGTTAACTCTCTTGCCTCGGGAAGATGGTGCTCGTGGGTTTCACTGAAGTGGTCAACGTCTGGGACCTGCATCACCTCCCACACGCCGTGATATAACTGGAATACTGTTAAAAGCGGCGTTTGACCCAACACACTCACTGACTTATTTTGATATGACATGTGCGACAATGTTACCAAAAAGTGAAAACTTTTCGGCATAATAAATTCGTTATGGTGTCTTTAGTTACCGTATACTGTGTCATATATTAGGTTTGCAGAACAATATTGGACGAGGCGCCAGCAGACGGGGGACGCGGCGTCAGCCTCGCCCAACATTCTTCTGCTAACCTAATATGACACCGTATACGGCAACTAAATACACCATAACTAATAATATATGGCATTTCGCTGTGGTGAAACGTTGACTCGATCCTCTGTCGAGAGGGTCGGAGACAGACCTAAATAGTATATCGCGACGCGGGGAAACGTTGACCCAGTTTTCGTGAAGCGAGATATTAGCACTTTTGGACAGCGTGAATATTTGACGTGCCAGGGTACAGGAGTAAACATATATATTATGAGGTAACTCTCGTAGAGAAGTATGGTTCATGGTTAAAAATAACAAACGCACACAAAACGTTATGGTAAATTGTGGCTTTCAATTTTAACAATATCTGCATGTCTACATGTGCAGATCTATTTCATTATAAAATGATATTACATCATTGTAGCAATTACTTTGAACGGACTAATTATGGAATAATATTAATAATTTAACTTTACTACTGTAGATATATCAATGCCAACAGTATCATGCATGTATACCACAATGATAGTGCATATCAAATTAATACCCCTTGTTCCTTGAAAACAATAACAATTTTCTTTTTTTGTAGATGTTTCAGGAAGTCATTGTTATGAAAATACGTTAATATACTAGCAACATAAAGAAACTGTGCACGGAGAAAATATATTCTGGATTGAAATACAACACAGCAAGAACAAAATGATGCAGACGCTGTAGCAGCTGAATGATCGGATCATAAGAAAATGTCAACGGGACCTGAACAACATCTGTTACGATGACGTCAGAAGATCAAATGGAGTAGGGGGTCAAACGACAAATTCACAAAGTCAATAACGGGTATGACCACCCTGTGCGTCACAGCAGTGCATCGGCGACGCATGGAGTCCACCAAATGGGCATGGAAGGCCTGGGGAATGGCCTGCCATATCCTCCTCAAATCCTGTGCCAAGTCACGGACGTTATCTGGAGGATGTTGAAGACGACGCAGACGGCGCTCCATTTCATCCCACACATGCTCTATTGGGGAGAGATCTGGAGAAATTGCAGGCCATGGCAGTAACATGACATTGTTCTGGTGAAGGAAATCCATTGCGACCCTAGCCGTGTGAGGACGAACGTTGTCCTGTTGAAATGTCAATCCCGGGCCATGACGTTGCAGGAAAGGAATGACCACAGGCCTCAGAATCTGATCTCTGTAGCCAACACCGGTGAGATTGCCCTGAACAACCACCAAAGGGGTTCGGTGCCGTGCTGTTATCCTACCCAAAATCATCACAGAGCCACCTCCAAAACGATTCCTCTCCACAATACAGTTGCGTGCATAACGTTCTCCCAAACGCCGGTAGACACGTTGGCGCCCGTCACTGTGGGAAATGTTGAACCTCGATTCATCTGTAAAGACAACATTTCTCCACCATATTCGAGGTTGGCGAACATGATTTCGACACCATCTTAGACGGTTGACTCGATGACGGTGTGTCAGGATGGGACGTATGGCAGGGCGTCGTGGTCGAATCCCGTACTGACGTAAACGATTCCTGACAGTGTTGGGATGGATACGGCGCAGTCCAGGAATTGTCTGAGACGTCGTTACTGCCGTTTGGAACCTGTGTCGGAGATGTGTAACTCGAATCCATCTGTCCTGTCTTGGCGTCGTTACTCGGGGACGTCCTGATCGTGGGTGGTCGGCAACGTCATTTGTGTTCTGATAACGCCTCACCAATGCCGATATCGTGTTA